ATTACATGTTATGTTTATTTTGGTTTTAAGGGCAGTTTACTACCCTAACCAATTAACGCAAAGACGCTGACTGGGAAATCGTCCTTTGTTCTTTTCAATCAGATGCTAAGTTCAAATCTTACACTGGACCATGTAAACAAGTCCGTACCTTGCGGATGATACTTTCCTCTGAAGCGACCTCAAAGAGTAGATGAAATTGAAATTTTTGTACAGTTTTACCTTCCTTGTCACATCGTTGTAATAAAACTTTCTGAAGACTGTCCACCATTGCTTTAAACTTTTCAGCTTCTTGAAAATATATAAAAAAAAAACAAACAAAGGAACACTTTCAAACAGTCCTAGAGCTACTGTTCATAAATCAGCTTGGCTGCCATCTTTGGAAGCCGCTTAACGAAGCAGAAAGCAGGGTCACTGGAAACAAGCGAGGGCTTATCAGAAATGATGGAGCTTAAAAGAAATCGGGAACAGGGGGGTGGTATCCGGGGGGGCGTGCACGTCCTTGTGACACGCAAAAGCAATCTCCGATTTTCGAGAAAGTGGAGATCGAGATAGCCAACAGTAAACTAGTGTAGCACATTATTCAAGGGAAACAGGTTTTTTGCTAAGTTCAAGCGAGTAGCGAGAGAATTAAGATAAGCTAAACATGTTTATAGCTGACAGCCGAGAACTATTATAAAGGACCGACTAACAAGCTGGTTTTATGACCCCTAACTCGCTCTCATGCCATCTCATCGAGGCAAGTGCAGTCTTATTGAATCTGAACCTGCTAAAGTTTTTACGAGTCGACAGCTTCGCTTATTTGGCAGGTAGATGATGCCAACTTTCATTCATACAGTTTCAAATCGTTTGATAATTTAAGGAAATTCTGCCCAACTCTAAACCAGTGCCCCAAAAAGGAAGACGCGGGGATTTGCATGGTAAGAATAAGCCAGGGAACAGGCATTTTTGCTTAAAATCTGGGGCAGAGGAAGTTGGGATTTTTTGCTAAAAAATGGGACATCATGCAAAAATTCCCTTCTGTCAACCATGACAAAATAAGTGTTGCACGGACTCTACGCTTTTATTCCCTTCCTTCACCTTAATTCGTGATTTTTTTTCCCGCTGTCGTTAGGAAAACGGTTTGTAAATTCAAAGACAGCCGTTTTGAGTTCCATATAACCAAGGAATTCAAGATACCGATAGAGCGTTGTCCGAAATAGCGGGAGTCATCTATGGTATGTTTACGGGGATATTCAAACCTTCCAGTGCAATCTTTTCAGCTTCCTGGCATGATTGAAGCTGCTTATTAAGTAAACGGTTCTCCTTTTTCAGGCAGTTGTTTTCTTGGCCAGTGTTCCTCACTAACTGCAAGTCAGAAAAAAACGAGCCAGTTTCAGTTCAGCCGAAGTTACGCCTTTCATTAATTATGTGAGAGGAAGACACTCACGATTGAAGACCTTAAGACTAACTGCTCAGAAGCTGCTGTTTGAAATAAAAAAAAAAACATACCGAAAAGGAGCTGGGAGACCGGACTCGAAAGAGTGGCAGAAACCGAGCCTAGGAGTTCCCTGTCGAAAACACCTCCACAACAACAACAAAAAAGACACAATCTTTTCTTTTTCGATATTCAAACTTACCTTTTCAAAGTGCATGTATTCTTGAATCAAATTATCTAAGTCAACCGCTTGTCTGACGGAGTCTCCTGTAGCGGCCATCTTGTTCTTGACGTATTGGCTCGTGATCCCAACTTGAAGAAAGCATGTTGAAGAACATTGCAAAAATGTTTTTTTTTTTTCAAGATCGAATACTCTTTGACCGTAGAAGTTATTCTTATCCCAGATAAGCTTGACTTTTAATACGGCAAGTTAAATGATAGATAAGCTTAACTTATAGAGAATGTTCAGAGCTCAATAATATGTCTTAAATTTGAATGCTTACCTTACCACCGGAAAAGAAGTCTGCAATTCGCCTTGTAACTTCTTCCACTTCAAGAAAATTTATTGCTTAGCATCCCAATAGTGTATTTTCCGAACAAAGACGACCCCTAAGGTTCAGTAGTAACTAGACTGTTATTTTTACAGTAGTTTTTCGAACAAGGCTCTAGAACTCGTGAGACGAATTTTGGCGGGAAACTTCAGGCGCGGGCCGCGGGTTGCTAACCTTTACTATGCTGTCAGGGTAGGGCTAGTAAGGGCGCGCGAGTCTTCAGTTTATGCGATTTCCAAAATTACTGGTAAAATATTTCTTCTTATTAACCGTTTTTCAGATTCCATGCAAATAGAATTGTGATATCATAAATTACATTCCGCAGAAAAGGCAAGCCGACAAGCTGGGTTTCTCATCAAATAAATTTTGGTTTGACAAGAAAGTAGACTTTCCAAACTCGACGATGTAAAACACAAAACAAATTTTGGGAGTGCCGAGAGAACATCAAGTCTCTGAACAAGCTGTAAACGGCAGAAAAATAGAGGTTCCTCTTCGCTGGTTCTTCACACGGGAGGAGTTGGGACTTGTGCCATATCCGACATTTAAGAGGGGTGGGGAGGGGGTTTATTTTCTCACGTCCACAGTATTTTATCCCCTGAAGCATCCAGTCTCTTCCCATCAAAAACACACTGTAGGTAACCATAATTATCTCCATTTTAATTTAACTTAATCTGTACAAATGTCATTTCAAGCGGAGTCACCTTCCGAAACAAATTTCATTATTAGTTTCGGTCTACAGTGAGATTACACGGAGTGCACATAATTTAAAATAGCAAAACGCTAAATATTAACTTTTCTCAGGCAACGAAATAGGCTACTGAACTGAAACAAGCCCTATTATTATGCCGAAAGATGAAAAATTACACACACAAAAAAACAGTTTAACAGTCGCAAATGTTTAGAACAGTACAGCTAGAAACTAAGTCAACCGACATAGTTTAACTTTGGGAGTTTCTATATTATCCCTGTCGAAGGAACAAGTTCTGTTTGGCTTCCCGAGAAAACGCCAAACGCTTTCCATTCTTAAAGTTGACTTAAAGCTTCACCTAAACACATTTGTTCCCACGACAGGAATTTGCGCCACGCCATCC